TGGCACATAAACATCTACATCCAACAAAATGCAGATGCGTTGTCACCCGTGAGAACTAAGATGGAATGCCTCTTTTCCAGTAAAAAGGGTTTCCGGTTCTCTACACTCACCATCTATATCATGTAAACCTTAGATATACAATGCTGACTAAATCTTTACCCTTATTTAAATGTCAGCATACCATCACAAATTAGGCCAAATGGGTAACAGTATCCGCTGGAGTTGCGGTTACTTAGTTACTTCTTATTAATATTTTTACACAAATAAGGATCAGAAACGAGCATACAATCCACCTCATGGTAAGTACTATGGCACATAAACACGTCAATAAAAACTTTTTATGTGGAATAAATCAGTACTATGACTCACCGTAATAATAAAACGAAACAGTATTAAACTGATATTTTTAGCTGGTAAACTGTTAGAACGTGGTCCTCCTCTAGTTGAGCCTACCTTTTCGTGCTACACTTAAATAATACTGATGCACCTAAATAAAAATATATTCGTGGTCCAACCACAACTAAATTTTACATACAAATTTTTTTCGTTATTATTTTTAAGAAAGTTACTTAAATTAAGATATTACTTAAAATTGTTATTTAGACAAACGGACTGATGGGGCCATGTTTAATATATGTGACTTCTTATCTTTCTGACAGGAATAAGTACCTAACTTTGTACTTTTGATCGATGGCGTAAAAGTATATTCAAGATTAATTAAGAAATAATTTGAAGTATTTTTTTATAGGAGAGGGGCAATACGGTTCACCTGATGGTAAGTGACTACCGTCGCCCATGAATAACTGAAGCACTAAGGTAATTGCAGATGCGTTGCTGGCCTTTTAGAATGGAGTAAGCTCTTTTCTTGAAGATCCCTAAGTCGTATCAGTCCGGAAAAATCGCCGGTGGTATATTATTCCACAGAGAGGTCGTACGCAGAAGAAAACTCCTAGTGAAACGTACAGTGGTGGACCGCCAAGCATCCAGATGGTGTGGATGGTATCGGAAGTATTGTCGCGATGTGCGTTCACGAAATTTGATGGCTGGGATTAATCCGAACAATTCCTCAGAGAACTCTCCGTGGTAAATGCGAAAGAAAATGCAAAGGGATGCAACATCTCTTCGCAGCGCCAGTGAATCGAGCCGACCGGTAAGGACTCGGTCGTCGACGATTTGAGCCACTCTGCGCTGGATGCGGTCAAGTGGAAGGAGCTGGCACTGGGGAGCCCCAGCCCAGAGATGTGAACAGTATTCCATGAGGCCTAACCTGCGCCTTGTAAAGTTGCAGGCGGTGTGCCCGCATGAAATACTAATAAGCGTTAACATAAAAAACACGTTTAAAATTATTCGTTGTTCTAGCTTGGTGTACTGATATTAAAAAGCTCAGTAACAGCTGATACTAAATAAGCAACTTGAGATGTGATATACTGGGACTTTTAAACCGCTCTCCTTTTAAGATTCTTAAATAGTTTCGCCCATAGGTTCGGTGCGATGAAATAGAAGAATCTATGGCTCCATTTTCATTAAGATTGGTGTTATGATGTGTATATGAGAAAGGCCAAAAATGCATCTTGGGTATTTTGTGTATGTCAGATGTATAATAGATCTGGATCGCAGATCGAGAAGCCACAATAGTTCAGGCCGTCTAGTAATATGCTCGCCAATCTAGCGACCAAGCGATGGCATAGACCTTATACACCAGCAGACTATTCGAATTTTGGCTGATTTGCACAGAAAGATGTATTATAAAAAATTTCACCTTTTTATCTATCTCAAGATATTATTTTAATGTACTATTATTATTAATTAATAATTACCTTTTCAGTGCCGTGTAGTGGCGGTTAAGAATATCCACTACCCCATATCTTCCCGTGGGTGTCGTAAAAGGCGACAAAGGGAAACAGGCAGGAGATGGGCAGCAGCATCTTCCTGGTAACGACAAAATACAATAAAAAACTGCGGTTGCCAACCCGCTCGCCAAGCGTGGCAACTATGGCAATATACCCCCCATAATGAAGGTTACGAAGAGACGGCCCCCAGTCCCCGGCGGCCCCGCTATTCCTGGCTACGGTGGCGACCATGGTAACGGCGGGGCAGGGGGTGCTAAGAATCTCCGGTGGAGGTTCGGTTGCCACCTACAACGACTCGACCTGGCAACATACAACGCACGCACCCTGAGGACTGACGAGAAGATTGTGGAGCTGGAAGAAGAGATAGACAAGTTACGCTGGCATATTATAGGATTATCCGAAGTCCGAAGAGAGGGGGAGGACACGGTAATCCTTGAATCCGGCAACTTGCTCTATCACCGGGAGGGCGACCATCTGTCCCAAGGAGGTGTCGGATTTATCGTCCACAAGTCTCTCGTTAACAACGTTGTAAAGATTGAGAGTGTGTCGACGAGGGTTGCGTACCTTATACTCAGAATCACCAAACGGTATTCGCTGAAGGTCATACAGGTTTACGCACCAACCTCGGCACACCCCGATCAGGAGGTGGAGGAAATGTATGAGGATATCTCTAGAGCCATGCATTCCTCCAAAACCCAATATACGGTGTTAATGGGAGACTTCAATGCAAAACTAGGCACAAGAGAGAACGGTGAGCTGAAAGTGGGGAAATTTGGAATAGGGCAACGGAACCCAAGGGGCCAGCAGTTGGCCGACTTCATGGAGAAAGAGGGACTCTTTATGATGAACTCTTTCTTCCAGAAGCGGCCCCACAGGAAGTGGACCTGGTCGAGCCCCGACGGTTCGACAAAAAATGAGATTGACTTCATTATGACGACCAGACGACAACTGTTCAGTGATGTCTCAGTGATCGCGAGGGTGAAAACCGGCAGCGATCACCGAATGGTTAGAGGCACACTGAACCTAAACGTTAAGTTGGAGAGGTCTCGTCTAATGAAGTCAACGCTCCGTCCCCCTCGTGCTCTAATCCAAAGTCCCGAAACCTTTCAGCTCGAGTTGCAAAACCGTTTTCAGTGCCTAGAAGACTGCAATGAAGTGGACGATTTGAATGACAAGCTCGTGGAAACTGTCCATGCGGTCGGAGCTAAGTTCTGCAAGACCCGCCGCAGAAGAACACAAAAACTCTCCGATCACACTCTTAATCTCATGGCTGTTAGACGGGAGATGAAGCTACATTCTTCAACAGATTTGACAGCATACAGGCAACTGAACAGACAGATCTCCAAATGCATGCGGCGGGACTTACGCAACTTCAATACAGCTCGTATTGAAGAAGCGATCGAGCGGAACCAAGGCTCCAAAGTCTTTGCCAGAGATCTGTCTGCCAGAAAGAGCCAACTGTCAAAGCTGAAGACCGAATGTGGCAGCATCGTTTCCGGGGCACCTGAGATTTTGAGTGAGATTGAGAGGTTCTATGGGCAGCTGTACACGTCATCGTTGGAGCCACACGCAAGTGTGAGTAACGATCCAAGAGCGAGTCTTATCCGACATTATTCCGATGATATCCCGGACGTCAGTCTGAGCGAGATTAGAATGGCTCTCCAGCACCTTAAAAACGGCAAGGCCCCAGGCCAGGATGGAATTACAGCGGAGCTTCTGAAAGCGGGTGGAAAACCGGTACTTGAAGTCCTTCAGAAGCTCTTTAATTCCGTCCTCCATGGTGGCATTACACCGGAGGCGTGGAGCAGAAGTGCGGTGGTCTTGTTCTTCAAGAAAGGCGACAACGCTCTCTTGAAGAACTACAGACCGATTTCCCTTCTGAGCCGCGTCTACGTGCTGTTTTCGAGAGTCATTACGAATCGTCTCGCGCGCAGACTTGACGACTTCCAGCCTCCCGAACAAGCCGGTTTCCGAAAAGGCTTTAGCACCTTAGACCACATACATACCCTTCGGCAAATTGTACAGAAGTCCGAGGAGTACAATTTGCCACTATGTCTGGCGTATGTGGACTATGAGAAAGCCTTTGATTCCGTCGAAATTTGGGCGGTGCTGCAGTCCCTTCAGCGATGCCAAGTTGACTGTCGGTATATCGAAGTGTTGAAGTGCTTGTACAGTAGGGCTACGATGGCTATCCGAGTACAGAACCAGAGTACGAAACCTATCCAATTGCAGAGAGGTGTAAGACAGGGTGACGTCATATCCCCGAAACTCTTCACCGCTGCATTGGAAGATGTTTTCAAGCTTCTGGACTGGAAAGGATACGGTATCAACATCAATGGCGAGTACATCACTCACCTTCGATTTGCCGACGATATAGTCCTTATGGCAGAATCGCTGGAGGACCTAAGCACTATGCTCAATGACCTCAATAGTGTTTCCCAACGGATAGGTCTTAAGATGAACATGGACAAAACAAAGATCATGTTTAATGTCCATGTCACACCTATGCCGGTAGTTGTTGGGAACACTAAGCTCGAAGTTGTTGACGAGTATGTTTACCTGGGACAAATAGTCCGACTAGGTAAGTCCAACTTCGACCGAGAGGTCAATCGACGGATTCAACTCGGTTGGGCAGCGTTCGGGAAATTACGGCACATCTTCTCGTCAGGTATACCTCAAAACTTGAAAACGAGACTGTACACCCAGTGCGTGTTGCCAGTGATGACATACGGAACTGAGACGTGGTCCTTCACTGCTGGCCGGATGAGGAAGCTCAAGGTCGCTCAGCGAGCTATGGAGAGGGCTATGCTCGGAGTTTCTCTGCGTGATAAACTCAGAAATGAGGATATCCGCAGTAGAACCAGAGTGACCGACATAGCCCAACGGATTAGTAAGCTGAAGTGGCAATGGGCCGGCCATATAGCTCGAAGAACCGACAACCGATGGGGAAGAAAGGTTCTCGAGTGGCAGCCTCGTACCGGCAGGCGAAGTGTAGGGCGTCCCCCCACTAGATGGAGTGACGACCTGGTAAGATTTGCAGGAAGTCGATGGATGCAGGTGGCTCGGGACCGTGCTTTGTGGCATTCTTTGGGGGAGGCCTATGTTCAGCAGTGGACTTGTGAAGGGCTGTAATGATGATGATGATGATACCTTTTCAGGAAACCACGGAGTGACGAAAGGCAACTGGAATGTGTTAGTAAACGAATGCAGCGGTTCAAAGGAGTCAGCTGTTACCGCACCCAACATGGCGAACACATTGTGCGAGATCTGGTTACATACTGAAACAAAATACAATAGCAAATCAGAGTTTTTACGATATTGGCGCGCATAAAGAAAACCTGAAAGAAAAAACAGCAAATAACATATAAATATTTTTTTATGATTATTAGTTTTCAGTTAGATAATTTCGTATTATATTAAATAAAACTAATTTTACGTAATATTGTAGTCACATATTTTATGTTTCCGGGAAATAGTCTTAGAAATTTTTAAGCAGTTCTGCATAAGTTCTAACCTGTCGATTACTGTACGCCGAACTCTGCGCTGACCTTTGTATTGAAGTGTTTGAGAATGTTGTTCGTACTGCGAATAATTTTGTTTTCTTAATTTTTCACTTCACGTCTGTTAGCAAAACTTACTCTACGACCAATATGGTCATGCCGTAGACGTTTGACATAATCTTGGCCGTACATACCACCTTTACTACAAATCAATTCTTGATACACCAATTTATATCGATTACAAATATTTTCTCTACTTCAATTAGGTTGAAGTAGATGCATAATTGAAAACCCATTATTATAAATGCAAATAGCTAACGTAAATTATTATAGTAGTCATTTTCCACTCTGTTTTTTTTCGACGAAGGGCCTCGTGTGACTTTTATATAGTTTACAACCTAATCAACAGATCCATTTATTTTGTGGACCACAGTGGCTACGAGCTCGGATTGCTGGACTCTAATTGCCCTCATTTCTAAAGAACGCGAACTGTTTTTATTCTCCCTGTAGCAGAATTCAAAACAATCAAATGATTACAATACTTTGTTTGTTATACTTTGCCATTACTTTCGTTAGAATTTTAACATTATTTTAAGGGCCTATTTTTCAATCCCCAGATATAATTTATTCATAAGATAAAATACTATATAAAAATTACAGTTGTATGAGATATTTTTAAGAATAAGAGTGATATAAGAGCACACAGCCCACCTGATGGTAGGTGGAAGCTGTGGCCTATAGACATCTACATTTATCCTCGATTAAGAAACAAAATTCAGAGGCGTTGGCGAAATCCTATTTGTCTTACCAATGTAACCTTGGTGGTTGCAGGTGGCTCTGGGTCGTCTTTGTGACATTACTTAAGTTGGCTTTTGTGTAGCAGTAAACATGTGAGGGGCTGTAATGATAATGATGTTGTTGATTGCGTCGACATATTAATAATTAAATGCTTCATTCAGATAATACTGTGCTATTGAACACAAGTCTCACATAATAAGAGAAGAATGATGTGATGTTTTAAATAGGCCAACCGCCATTGTCTTATAACAATAAACATGCCGTGTGTTTCCACAATATTTTATCCATGTATATTGCCAATTAAAATATTACTTCCAATTTTTAATTGCATACAATGATAGTTATTTTTTTATAGAATAAATGTGACAAATGAGCATACAGTCAATCTCATGGTAAGTGGATGTTGTTGTCCATAGACTACTAAGGTTTCTTACATTATTTGTGGCACTGGTGAGCCTTTTTGTTACAAAATTATTGCTGTCGTTAGTTAACGCCGAACAAGGCAAGTATAAGAAACAAAACGTAAATGTTTTGGCCAATGTTGTGTACGATTAAAGATTTAACCAATTCTGGGTTCAATTTTATTTCGTCAAAATTACTTTTATAAAGGATGATATTATAAATTAAGAAATCCGAAGTGAAATTCAAGTTTCAGCCTACACAGTCCTACCACATGAGTAAATAAACCAACGAGAGGCAAAGCTTCATACAATCGCGCTCTGATAGGTACACTAATTTAAGGCGCGTGTTTGTGTGAGCACTGGCGTCACGTACAGAGTGCAATTGTTTTTAACCTGCTTGTCCAGTGCAAACTCAGCTCTATAAAGATAGCAACGAAAAGTCATCAGAAACTCTAAAATTGTATCCAGTAATTTGTAGCTAATTTGTTGCTAATTAGTTGCCAAAATCGCGATTTTGTTGCTCGAACTGGTTTTGAGAAAATTGACTTACTGCAAACTCTAAGATAGCAGTAAAACTTTCAATCAACTCGCAGTAGCGGATAAAACGGCATAAATTGTTGTTAATAAGTTGCTGAAATTATATTTTTAAATTTCAAAAACAAATTTTTTAATAAAAAAATATTAAAAAAAACTTATGTTTTAATACTGGTTCTAAAGTTCAAAATTAATGAAAATTTTGCTGCTGAGCAAAAAATAGATCAATAACTCCTAGACCGCCAAGAACAACATAAAATCGGTCGATAATCTGCATCAAGTAATAGATTACAAATTAAATGTGGAAATGCTATAAGGGAGATTTCAAAATACGACAGTAGATATCTTGTTGCTGTACAGCTATGGAAGCAGCAAGTCTTAAAGAACCAGCAACAGAATAACACTGATCAATGAGCTGCAACAAGTAATTTGTTAGTAATTATTTGTATACATGCTGCTATATTAATGTAATAATCTTAACATTAAGATAGCAGTAAACTTTCAATCAACCCATTTCAAGCGGATAAAATGGGATAATTTGTTGCTTATTAGTTGCTGATATATAAAGAAAAAATAATACAAATAATTCAAAATATTTTTAGAAAATATTAAATATATCTTTTAATACTGGTTTTGAAGTTCCAAATTAATGTCTATTTTGCTGCTGATAAATAAATCATTAAATCCCAGACAGCCTACAATAACATAAAATCGGTCGATATGCTGTATCAAGTAATAAGTTACAAATTAAATGTGTACAAGCTGCCTATACGGGAGATTTAAAAAAAACGATTTTGTTGCTGTTCAGTTATGGAAGTAGAAAGCCATAAAGAGCCAGCAACAAAATAAAATCGATCGATCAGCTGCACTAAGTAATTAGTTAGTAATTATTTGTGTACATGCTATACTTACTTGAGAATATTATAAAAAAAAGGTATTTTGTTGCTGTTCAGTTATGAAAGCAGCAAGCCATAAAAAGCGAGCAAAAAAAATAAAATCGATCGATAAGCCGCACCAAGTAATTAGTAAGCAATTATTTGTGTACATACTAAATTCACAGGCGATTTTTGTTTAAAAGACGGTAGATATTTTTTTAGTGATCAGTTAAGAAAGCAGCAATTCACAAAGAGTCAGCAACAAAATAAAACCGATCGATTGGCTGCACCATGTAATTTGTCAGTAATTTTTTGTGTACCTACATGCAAAATTTACAGGAGATTTTTAGAAGAAAAGTCAACAGTTATTTTGTTGCTGTTCAGTTTTGGAAGTATCAGATCATAAAGTGCCAGCAAAAAAATAAAATCGATCGACAAGCTGCATTAAGTAATTAGTTAGTTATTGTTTATGTACATGCTTTATGTACGTGAAATTTTTTGAAAAAAAGAGCAAATATTTTGTTGCTGGTCAGTAACGAAAGCAGCAAGTCATAAAGAGCCAGCAACAAAATATAATCGATCGATAAGCTGCACCAAGTAATAAGCTAGTCATTTTTTGTGTACATGCTAAATTTACAGGAGATTTTTATAAAACAAGTCGGCAGATATTTTGTTACTTCTCAGTTGTGGAATTATCAGGTCATAAAAGCCGGAAATGAAATAAAATCGAGCGATAAGCTGCACCAAGTAATAAGTAAGACTTTTTTGTGAACATGCAATATTTAGAGGAGATTTTAAAAAAGTCGGTAGATAATTTGTTGCCGTTCAGTTGTGGTAGCAAAAAGTCATAAAGAGCCAACAACAAAATCGAATCGATAGACTGGCTGCAACATGTAATTAGTTAGTATTTTTGTGTAAATGCTAAATTTACAGGAGACTTTTAGAAATAAAGACGCCAGGTATTTTTTGCTGTTCAGTAATGGAAACAGCAAGTCATAAAGATCCAACAACAAAATAAAATCGATCGATAGCTGCACCAAATAATAAGTTAATAATTATTTATGAAAATTTTTGGAGAAAATATAACAGATATTTTATTGCTGTCCAGTTATGGACGCAATAAGTTATAAAGAACCAGCAACAAAATAAAATCGATAGATGAGCTGCACTGAGTAATTAGTTAATAATTTTAGTGTACATGCTAAATTTACAGGATATTTTTTTAACAAGACGGCAGATATTTTTTTAGTGATCAGTTAAGGAAGCAGCAATTCACAAAGAGTCAGCAACAAAATAAAACCGATCGATTGGCTGCACCATGTAATTTGTCAGTAATTTTTTGTGTACCTACATGCAAAATTTACGGGAGATTTTTAAAAAAAGTTGTCAGTTTTTTTTGCTGTTCAGTAATGGAAACAGCAATTCATAAAGAGCCAGCAAGAACATAAAATCGATCGATAAGCTACACTAAAACATTAGCTAGTAATTATTTGTGTATATGCTAAATTTATAGGGGATTTTTAGAAAAAAAGATGGCAGATATTTTATTGCTGTTCAGTTGTGGAAGCAACAAGTCATAAAGAGCCAGAAACAAAATTAAATCGATCGATTGGCTGCACCATGTAATTATTCAGTAATTATTTGTCATGGTTGATAATAACCCTCATTCCCAGGGGTTATTATCAACCATGTATTCATTTATATTATAATAACTCTTTTAATAAAGATTCCTTGTATATTTTCTAGGACTCTGTTGTAATATCGTATATATTGTCCCTAGATTGTATCACTAGCTTGTGTATGTTCCTAGTGTTTACAGAGTGTATATCACTTTTGTTACTAAAACTATCTTTGTTTTTGTGTACATACATTAAATTTTCGGAAATATACTGAGAGGCCAAAGTTAATATATTTATTTGTTTAAATTTTTCTCTAAGCGACTCTCTCGGTTTAAGGTTGTAAATAGCTCTTATGGCCCTCTTCTGCATAATAAAATAGTTTCTAAATCAGCCGCATTTCCCCATACAAAAATCCCATGAGACAATATGGAAATAACTGAAATAAATTAATCTAGCTGTCTCGAAACTAGTGAGATCTCTAATCATTTTTATAGCATAAGCTGCAGAGCTTAGTCTGCTTGTTAGTTTGGATATGTGGGGCCCTACTGAAG